GAGGTGATAAAAATTTCCTAAAATTGATTGTGGTGATTATTACCCAATTCTGTTAGTATACTATTAAATAGATGTATACTATAAATAGATGAATCTCAATAAAGTTATTTTTAAAATGGTAATTCATTATACCCTTAATTAAGATGCTGCTTTTTTTTTTCCTGGCAGCACTGGGGTTTGAACTCAGGGCCTCATGTTTGCTAAGTAGCAGGCACTCTTACCACTCGAGCCACTCTGCCAGCCCACTAAGCTTCTCTTAAAGTTAACAACAAACACAACCATACTACAAGTGAATACCAGTCACTTGTTTTGTATAACAAATCTCAATTTGGGAGTATCTGGTGTTTTCTCATGGTTAGATCAAGGTTCTGTATTTCAGGTGAGAGAACCCCAGAATGATGTGTATCATCTCAGTGGTGCATGATGTTGATATGTTTTATTCTTGGTGACCATTTGATCAAGGTGTGTCTTTCAGGTTTCTCCATTGTAAAATTACTATTTTCCTCTTTGTAATTGGTTAAAAAAATCTTGTGGAAATACTCTTAGATTATGCTAATTTACTGCTTCTCTAATTTTCAGCCACTAATTTTGGCATACGTCAGTGGATATCATATACAGATTGTTGTGGTATTTGCACAATGGTGATTTTTTGCATTAGTTGTTTTCCTTACACCTTTACTAGTTGGAGTTTATTAATTGAACTCTGTAAGAAAAAGCTGTTCCTCTTCCTGTATTTATTTTTATCAGTGCAGTTCATGGATATATGGGTTATTTCCAGCACTATCACTGTTGATTTTGTTCCTCAGAATTTCCAGTATGGCTGTTGGAGGCTCCCTTTGTCAGGCTGTGTATGCACACTCACATGTGTGCATTTAGCTTGTCTTCATCCTTGCTTACATACTTAATTCATGCGTGCTAAGCAAATTCTTAACCACTGAGCTACATCCCTGGCCCCCAGGGCTGTTTTTTATTTCCCTGCCTCAGTTCTCTTTTCTGAGAATTCCCAATTTATTTTACTGAAAACCAGTATTTAGAAACCAAAATCTGGGCATTAATGTGCTCATTGCTATTGGAATGTCATTGCTCCTAAGCCCACTTAGCAGACAGATCTACATTCATTTTACCTTTATTTACCCTTTATTTGTAACTTCTTTCTGTGATAGGAAGAAACCTGCTTCTCATTACCTCAAATATATTCACTTTTTTTTATAGTAATTACACAATTGCTAACCCATGTGCCTGTGAGAAACAGCTTTGCTAACTAAAGTTTTTGGGTATAACCCTTTTTGTCTTTAAACTTATAATGTCTAGTAAAATACTGGTTTGTTTTACTTGGGTTCTTTTCATCTTCATCCTCTTTATTAGGTTTCATTTGTTACTGTTTTGGATTGCATTATTGATTGATTTTATTTGGTTGTTTCCTGCTGTTCAAATAGTCAAACCTGTACAAAATGATATATTCAGAGACGTGTGCCTCCTCGTACATACTGCATTCTCATTCTTTTTTCCCACCCTCTTCCATCCACATACCTGTATTAACCAGTCTTTTCAGTTTCTGGTTTATTTTTCCTGTTTCTTTTGCACAAATGAGGAGATACATACTTTTTCATCTAGTTCTTTCTTATAGTTATTTTAAATGTTTGTTAATTTATATGGTTCCATCCCATTGTGGTTTTAATGAGATGGAACATGTTTTCATATCTTCTTTGGCTATTTGGGTTTCTTCTTCCAGGGAATTCCTATTAAAGACCTTGCCCATTTTCTCTTGGATTTGTAGGTGTGACTTATGTATTCTAATACTAATCCTTTGTTTGTTATCCTTTTTACAAAAGTGGGAGGCTTATCTTTTTCACTAGCATGTGTTTGGTGAGTAGAAGTTCTCCCAAATTTAATCTTTCATTTGTTCTTTGATGTTTAAAAATCCTTTTTGAGATTATATAGTTATTCTCTGTTGTCTTCTAAAGGTTTTAGAGTTTTGTCTTTCACACTTCAGGTTTTTGTTTTTGTTTTGGTGATACATACTGGGGTTGAGTTAAATACAATATATTTTTATATGGATAACAAATCCTTCAACACTATTTATTAAAGAACCCATCCTTGTGCTACTGGTCTTTAAAGTGGACTTTATCATAAATCCAGTCCAGTACAGCTCCAATTCTTAATCTTTAGTGACACAAATCTCTCCCACTTTTTTTTTTTTTTTTTTTAGTGGTACTGGGGTTTGAACTTGGGGCCTTGCAGTTAGCCAGGCAAGTACTCTACCATTTGAGCCACTCCTCCAGCCCTTTCTGCTTTAGTTATTTTTCAGATTAGAGTCATGTGTTTTCTGACCTGGGCAGGCCTTGGACTGAAGTCGTCCTACTTACTATGCCTCTTGCATAGCTGGGATTACCTGTGTGAGCCACACCCCCACTCTCCACCTCTTCTTCTTCACAACTGTTTCAACTCTTCCTAGTGCTTTGGTTTACCACATGTATTTTAAGAACAATTTTTCATGTTAAACATAATTCCTTGGCATTACATTGAATCTGTGAATAACTGTGAGAATTTAATTTTAACTATCTTCTATGATGTAGCTTTAGTTCTTCTTTAACATCAGTAATAGTTTCATTATCATATTCTCCATAAAGGTGTTATTTACCTTTTGTAAGACTTATTCCCAGATACTTAATATTTTCAGGGGTTAATGTAAAAAGTCTGCTAAAAGCGACTAGTTAGAAATAAAGTGATACCTCTCACTTGTCTGTTCTGCCCTAAGCTGGCTGCCCAGTTGTAGACCAATGTACCATATTATACCTAAGAGAATGGTCTCTTAAATTTCTGAACTTGGCTTGTTCAGAAGGCATATATGGAATTGACCTATCAAAATCATATTATTGGTTTTCATTTCATTTGTTCTGAAATGCTGTTTACTCATAAGGTATATTTTTCCTCTTTATTTATGATCTTCCCTTAGCTAGGATGCCCTGACACTACTTGTTTCCCAAGGACTAATTCTCAACTGTTGCTGTAGTCCTCATTTTATAGATAAAGAAACAGACACCCTAGAGATTAAATAGATCTGCTCATCTGCTTCTGATGACTTCCTCTACCTCTGTACTTTGTGTATCATTGTGACACTATGTCTATTCTCCATCATAAGCTCCATAAGGTTAAGATCTTCGTCCTGTTCCCCTCTCTACTCCCAAGCCTCACACAGTACCTGATAGTTACCTGACACATAGCAGAAGATCAATAAGTAGCTACCGAATGTTGACTGAGTATTATAGGCAATCCACTTTCAAGAGAAATCACGTTAACAGTGAAATTAGATGTTTGATTAGTTGCCTTTGGAAATATTGACAACAAAATTTCTATTTGGGTGGAACCGAAAACAGACTTTTTTTTTCTTTTGTGGGACTGGTGTTTGAACTCAGGACTTTGAGCTTGCAAAGCAGGTGCTCTAACAGTTGAGCTACATTTCCAGTCCATTTTGTTCTGGTTATTTTGGAGATGGGATCTCTTGAGCTATTTGCCTGGTCTGTCCTCAAAGTGTGATTCTCCCTATCTCAGCCTCTCAACTAGCTAAGATTATAGGGAGCCACTGACACCTGGTGTTTTTTTTTTTTTTTTTTTTTTTTTTGCAGAGGGGGAGCTTGCTAGACAAGCATTCTACCACTTGAGTCATTCCTCCAGCCTCCCTCAAAATCTTTAAAAGGTTTCTAATGAAAAATTACCTTTCTGTCTAGCTTTTCTGGTATAATGAATTTTTCATATGATAAACATTTTCTTCTTTTTCTTTTATACCACTAGGGAGACTAGTATCATAGGTTCTAGATCTAATTGCATGTACTTGTTCATTGAGCTGGTGTTAACTTTAAAAGAAATTCTAGATAAAATTAAGTCAACATGATTCATAAAGATATCTTCATTGCATGGAGGGAGTAAATCTAACCAAGACATATTGTAAGCACATATGTAAATATCACAATGTATCTCCCTGTACAACTATTCTATGCTAATAAAAAAGTGTTCATTTCAGAGAAGGATTTGGTGTTAATTATCCCAACAGCTTTATGCATCTAGAAGTATTTTAGGTGTCTGTGTGCAGAAGTAATTTTGTTATAGCAGAGATAAGGTATCATACATTCACTGAGTGCTTCCCGTGTTCTAAATGCTGTGTATCACTGTATAAAAATGAGTACAACAGGAATTGGTGGTGTAGGTCACTTGCCTACCCTGTATGGTGCTGTAGGTTTGATCCCCAGCACCAAAAAAGGAGGAGGGATGAAGGGAGGAGGGAAGGAAGGAAGGAGGGAGGGAGGAAGGGAGAGGGGGAGGAGGGAAGGAAGGAAGGAGGGAGGGAGGAAGGGAGAGAGGGAGGAGGGAAGGAAGAAGGAGGGAGGGAGGCAAAGAGGGAGCAGGGAAGGAGGGAGAGAGGGAGGTTTAAAAAGCTCACAATCTAATCTCATGATCTTATGGTAGCTTTGAACCTCATTGTATTTTCCTTCTTGTTTGTTGGTTTCAGGGTTTTTTTGGTTTTTGTTTTTTTGAAAGTCTGGGGTTTGAACTTCCTTTTTCTTAAATACATTATGTTGCTAAATTTGGCATAAGGAAGGCTTATGTGGTGACATTAATTTGGTCAAGAACTATAGCCCAAAGCGAAATTTCCCCAGTGGTGTGTAGCAGCTGTCAGCATTAGCACTTGACCTTTAAATAGCACGTAATTAAACTGGCCTCTGACTCTCAACTGCTTCCACTTCATGAATCCTTGTTTTTCGTCAGGCTGTGAGAGGCTGGGTGGGATGTTCTAAAGAAAAAGGAATCTGTTATTTCCTCCTCAAAACTGTGGTAGGGAATACGAAAAAGAAAAAAAAGAGTACCTGCTCTGTAAACCTCTGTATATGACTAATACCCAGTGTCAGGCAACACTGAGCTTAAGTTTATCTTCCGTGTGACTGCGTGCACACGTGTGCGTGTGAAAGTGTGTAAAAGGAGAAACTTTTTTTTCTTCTTGGCAGGTGTCCTTATAGACCTGGGTCTGGAGGAAAATGGGACAGCTCATCAGAGAGCAGAGAAATATGTTGTTCGTCTGGACAATGAGATTCAAAGCAAGTTTGAAGTTTTTATGAGGAGGGTGAAACAGAACCCGTACACACTGTTTGTGCTAGTTCATGACAACTCCCATGTGGAGCTAACGAGGTGATTGCTTCATTGTGAGCAAACACAGTATTTCTTCCGTAGTAGTAGTTGTACCCTAGGAAACCTTTAAAGGTGATGATGTATCTTGTGCCCTGGGGAGCCTTACATTTGGCATCTTCCTATTGGTAACTTACTCCTAATCTTTCTTTGCTCCCTCAACTCTTTTTCCTGATTTAATGTTGATTTTATTTTAAATGTTCTCTGGAAGAACTTAAAAATTCCTGTTTAAAATACTGTCTTAAGAGCATTGTGGAACTCAGTTGCTTCAGAGAAGACAGCAATGAGGAGGTGGAGGTGAAAAGAGCTCCCAAGGGATGCGTTTACTGCTTGTTATCTCCTCCTCAGTTCTCTCTTTTCCTTCTCTTCCTTCCTCTCCCAAGACTCTTCCTCTTCTTGCCTTTCTTTTCTCCCTCTGGCCTTTAAAAGTAAGAGAAATACCACTCTAGTGATCTGAGAGCACATCTGAAACCTTCCCCGATTTCACAGTTTAAACAAAAGAATAACCTCATTTCTTGCTTGGACGTACTATTGAAAGAACAGTATGTCTGGAATGATGGGGCTAGTTTTGCTCCCAGATCAAATTGTAATTGTCTGGTGAGGGGCCTTTGTTCTTATGGACTAAAAGGAAAATCATTTAAAAAGGGGGAGGGAGCATATTAACCATTGAGCATATCATGGAAATTTGGGGTATTATCAAGCATTTATAGATTTTCTTTTCTGCAGGTTAGGAATCTGGGACTTTTTTGATCTGTGGTAGAAATGTCAGAATCACAAAAATGCTTTTTCAAAAGCCAAAATGTGTTTGATATGCTACTACTTAAAATCTAGAGCCATACGTAGGCATAAATAAGACCTTGTATAACTTGATAAAATTAGAAGAAAGGAAAGATGGAATAAAAGGAAGGAAGAGAGGGAAGGAGAGGGAAGAAGGGAAATTTTTTTTGCATGCATCTATTCAGTTATTGCTAGTGTTCTATGAATAGAAATAATTCAATGTCTTACATACCTTGTATCAAGATTTATTGAATTTAAAAATATGTCTGAAGCTGCATGACAACCTGATGTATCCAAATTGAACAGGGTTTGAAAAACTTCAGAGATACAAGTCTTAGTCACAAGTTGTGGACAGGAGGCCTCCCCAGGCCAAACCCCAGTTTAGACCCAAGGTAGGAAAGACAGTGGTGGTGATGAAGGGGAGTCCTGGGACTCTGTGAGGGCACAGGGCCAAAAACATCACACTTTGATCAAGAGGCTCCCTCATTTAGGTGAGCTTTGAAAGTAAAGATATAGTACAGATTTAGCCATCCTTGGTCTGGACAACTGACTGTGCACTTTGATCAGAGACAAACTGAAAATAGTCCCTGAAATCTGTCCGAGAAGGGGTAAGAAGAAGCAGCATTAAATTTTGTCTTCCAAATCACATTTTTTGTTTGTGTTTTGAAACAGAATCTTGCTACGTAGCCCATTCTCTCTTGAACTCTCTTCCCTCAGCCTCCCGAGTGCTGGGATTACAGGCATGCACCATTCCTGGCTACCAGAGCACATTTTTATGATACCCCAACTTTAAAGAGCTGGAAAATAAGAACTAGAACATTAACTTCATGTTGGCTTCTGTTTCTGCGTCTAGTCAGTTAAATAAGGAGGTATTAATGTGACTCATTATTTCTACAGTGTCATTTCTGGCTCTCTGTCACATGGTGAACCCAGTCATGGACTGGCTGATAGAGTCATTAATTGCAGAGAAGTTCTGGAAGCTTTCAATCTCCTGGTGCTCCAGGTTAGCTCCTTCCCATACACACTGCAAACCCAGCAGTCCCGAATCAGCTCCAGCAATGAGGTTCACTGGATACAGCTTGATACCATGGTGAGTCTCCCCTGCAGTCAAGAAAAAACTGGGAGTACGGTAACAGCTTTGTAAAATGCAGCATCAGAGTTCAGAAACCTAACTAACTAATGCTTCATCTTCTAGAAGTTACATATGGTGACAGTTGCTCTATTTTATTTCTTACTATGTTGTCCAGGCTGGCCTTGACTCCTAGACTCAAGAGACCCTCCTGCCGTAGCCTCCTAAGTGCTGTGACAACGGATACACCACTGTACCCTACTGACCTAAATTACTAACAACTACCAGTCAGATCCTACAGAAAATCAATTAGGTGGATTTTTTTTTTTAGGTTTCATATAGACACAAAATTATCCACAATTAATTTCATTCTAAGACCTAGAAATGTTCTTTTCCTCTTGGCCACTTGAGCTGATAGCCTGACTGATCTGTAGCACCATTAGTTAATCACTCTTAACACCCCCTCCCCTTTGCTCTCAGAAACTGGATTTTCCCTTTCAGTTGGTTCTGAGTCTTCTGATTAAAACTGAAGGTGACAGCACTGTTACTTTAAGGAACTTGGTAGAAGCAATGAATGTGTTGGGAATAACCATTTCAACATTAGACATATCCACGCTGGTCTTTATATTTTTTTACTCCAGTCCTAATATTTAAAATATATTTTCTATAACCTATAAGCTTTATGCTTAATATACTATCAAAGAAATTGGTTTCATTAAAAACAATAATGATTAGCTATTCTGCCATGGATCCTTTTTGTAAAAATACTGACTACACTGGATATTTAAAAACAAATAGGTTTATATCAAGAACACCAGCCATGTCTTATATGCAGATCATACTTATTTATCAACCCAGTACATTTCACTCTGTTACAAAGTCAGTAAGTTTTCCCTTTTGTGAGTTCCTGTCTTTGAGTACTGGTTTGTTCTTTGCTGTTGGCAGGCTCAGGTCCGGACTCACGTTGGCAACAGCAGTCCCTCTCATATGAGAATGATCTCCGTGTGTTTGCTGTCACACAGAGACTCCTCTGTTTGTTTTACTGGGATCTTCTCTATGGCCTATCTTTCCGTTCATCCAGTGGTCAAGTTTAGAAGTGAGACAGTAGAGCCAGCACAGTCCTTCACCTCTAAAGTACAGGGTGAGCCTGTGGGTGCTCTGACACAAGATGGGATGCTTGTGGAACAAATAAAAGGGAAAATTATCTTTTTAAAACTACAGCCTGACACAGTGGCTCATGCCCATTAACCCCAGCCACACCCAGCATTATCGAATACTTGTGGGCTTGTGTTGGATCTTTCAAAGAAGAGAGAACCACTGGTTAGAGGAGAAAGCAAAGTACCTATCTAAGTCACTATTATCTGAAGTAAGATAAGACAGTTTTTTAAAAAGTCAAAGCACTCGATCTTGCAGTAAGGGAGACATTACATCCATTTGAGTGGACCGGGAAAGGCTTCATGAACAGAGCTGGAGTTGTCCCTTAAAAGAGGGCAAGAACTAGGCAGATGGATGGGGAAGCAGGTGCTCCGAAAGCAGACAGTATGGACAGGGCACATGGGGAAACAAGGTAGTTTACAGAAAGCACCTGATAGGATGCAAAAGAATCCTGGGAATATATATGCCAGGCTTCAAGTGCCAGGTTGGAAAAGTTCACAGTTACTACACATTTATCAAAGGTTTATTTTGTTTTTGCAAAGGTATAGTATTGTTATAGTACACATATCCTTATTTAGTTAGGTTTTTTGTGGGGAGGGGGGCAGTTGGGCAGTATTGGAACTTGAACTCGGGGCCTTGTGCTTGTTCAGCAAGTTCTCTACCACTTGAGCCATGCCCCTAGCCCTTACTTAGTTTTTTGAGACAGGGTCTTACTATGTAACCCAGCCTCAAACTCAAACTCAAATCCTCCTGCCTCAACCCTCCCAAGTATTGGGATTACAAGTGTACATAACCATGCCTGTCTCTTTTTTATATTAACAGTGTGAATGTACGTACAGCTTGTTGAGTTTTCACAAACAACACACCTATAGAATCAGCAACCCAATCAAGAAAAAGAACATTATTATTTCCCAGAAGTTCTGTGACTGTTCTGGGATCCCCCACTAAAGGGTGATACTTTTCTTGCCTGCTATACCATACACGTGTTTTGCCCAGTTTTGAACTTCATATAAATGAATCATATAGTATGGACTCTTCTGTCTGGCTTTATTTGCTCAACATTGTGACATTTGTCTATATATTTTCATAAGTCATAAGACATACATTCATGTATATATATGCACATTATATATATGTTTATAAATATGTATACATATACACATACAGGTATAAGCAAACACAAGCATATTGCATTGTGTGACTCCACAACAATTCATTTAACCATCCTATTTCATTTGTTTCAAATGGTGCTGTTATAACATTTTAGCACATTATTTATTGCACGTTTTTCTGTTGGGTCAGTATCTGAGAGTGAAACTGCTGGGTCATCAGGTCTATATGTTTCACTTTCGTAGCTACCAAAGGGCTGCATTTTAAGGCAGTCCATTAAATCTAGAGGCGAAGTCAAAGTGATCAAAAGTGGGAGATTAGTCATTGACTTTTCTAATCATTTGGATAAGAATGAACAAATAGCTAAGTCAGCGTAGTGATGCTTGAGCTAGATATGGTGGTGCCTGTAATCCCAGCACTCAGGAAGCTGAGGCAGGAGGACTGCAAGATCAAGGCCAGTCTGGGCTACAAAGCAAGATCCTGACTCAAAAACAGGATAGTGGTCCTAGCAGTAAACAGGATGGGAAACATGGTACAATTTCTAGGATTTATTTTTTCAGGGGGAGGGGAGAATCAGAAATATTTTTGAGATGATTCCCTTAGACAAAAAAAGTCAAGAGCGGAGGAGGCCACCTTTGAATGAGTTAAGATGGGTGAGCATACCATGGCAAATGCAGACTTAAGAGTTTGGGTTAGGAGCTTACCATGTAGATTTGGAATAGTTTTCAAAACCCAAAATAACTGCCGCTATGAAAGAAAATGGCTGAGAGGGCAGTGAGGCCAAGGACTGGCAAGTAAATGCCATGTGGTGACCTTCCAGGGAACAGTGTCAGGACAGCAGAGTCTGGCTGGAGGAAAGGCAAAGAGGGCACCCAAGGTCAGGGACAGTTGTAGGTGGAGGGTTGCTGAGAAGACAGGACTTGGAGAGATTTGGGTTTTGTTTTTATGAGAACTTAGAGTGATTCAACAAATTGTGTGGTTTGGAATGTGTTTTTAAAGTGAAATCATTCTGAATTTCAGAACTTACATTTTAAAGGGTGGCCCCATTTCCTTATCTTACGACTTCAGTACTATTCTAAAAATTATAATTATACTTTAATGCAAACATAACAGACTGGGGAAACTATTCACTTCTAATTTTTAGTTCTTGTAGTTTTCAAAACCCATCTGGCTTTAACTGATCACAAGACATCACTTGACAATCTGCCCCATAATTTTGCTAAGACTAAAGATAGAGAAATAAAAATGATTACAGGTGAATACCTTCTAGCTAACAACTTATAATGCAGCATTAGGAAAAGGAGCAAGTGTGAAGTAGGCATTGATATTTTTCCAAAGAAATAGGAACATAGGGTGAGAAGAAAATGTGAAAACTAAGTGCCTACAAGATTACGCTTTTCCATCGGTGCCTACAGTCCGGATGAGGAGGGAAGCGAACATGAATGGCTTTCCCCCTGAAATGACCTGACACAGCTGTGCAGCCTTTGCAACAGATGTCCTCCAGTCTGTGCACTAAGCCTCCAGTCTGTAAGGACATCCCCCAGCCTTCTGTACCAACAACAGTGTTATCTGGTTTTGGGGTCTCAAAAAAATTAAAAGTGCCAATTAAAAAGTGCTTTATTTTTACACCTTATGGACCATGTACGTAACAAAATTGCTTTGAATGGGTTACTAAAAAGCCCAGAACCAAATTTGTAGCTCACTCCTAAAAAGTGTTCCAAACCATGCATTTTGGGGAGTATTAATCTTATCCCTGACCCAATGTTATTTTTCTTACCCTTGCTTTTTCTTCCCTTGAATGCCTTACTTATTTTTATGTTATTATACTTTAAAATTTTTCCTTTTCCCTTATAAAATAAGTTGGATTGTGTTTAAAGAAAAATGTCAATACATAATAAGCAACAAAAAAGCGAGACTAAAATGCACAAGCAATATAAAAACAAGAAAAAAATTACAAAAAAATTAATGTAGGCTGGGTGTAGTGTCACACAGCTATAATCCCAACTAGTTGGAAGGCAGAGACAGGAGGATTGAGATTCTTTGAGTCAATCTTGGGCAAAATTAGTGTGAGATCTTATCTGAAAAACAAAATAGGAGCCAAAAAAAAAAAAAAGCCAGTATGGTTCAAATGAGCAAACATGAGGCCCTAAGTTTAAGCTCCAGTACAAACAAAAACAGATCCATGAAGTCAGAAACAGGTCCATGAAATCAAAAAGCTTATTTAATATTCTGAGACTTCTTAGTTTAAGGACAAGCAGCTTGTCACACATCTGAGGATCCTGAGGTCATCTTTGTGTGATGTCCCAATGTAGTTATTCATTTTCATAGTGATAGCTGAGTTACCATGAGAGGATTAGTGCTGTGAACTCCGTGTAAAAAGGCAGAAAAATGTATATTCCATTTTTAGAAATACATTTTGTCTATGAGTTACCATCACTAAATGAACTCAGAAAAGTTAAGTTGTAAGAGAGGAGTTTTGGAGTTTCTCTCCAGAGAGTTCTGTGGATACCACAGGTATCAGAATAGACAACTACTTTCAGCAGAAAATGAACTGTCTGACCATGTCTCTCTGAAAAAAGGAAAACAAGCCATCTGTATGGTTGCCATTTATCTAAATAAATGTGTCAACAGTCTACTAATACGTATTAAATTCAGTCATCAAAGTAAACAGAAATGATTGCAGAATTGGTACCAAGTTACATGACAAAACACAATTTTTCTTTTACCTCCCAGGAAATAACCTCTTACAGGGGTTTCCACACCCTCCCCCAGAAAACCAGACACCCTGTATCCCATCCTTATTGGGGGTTTGCTCTGTATTTCCAATCAGGAGGAGGTGGGCTGTGAGGAGAAGCTGTACTTCGGCTTGAACGAGTACAGCAAGTCTCTGCAGTGGGGGGTCACCAGCCCGCTTCTGAGATGCGATGAGACCTTTGAGAAAATGGTGAACACACTCTTGGAGAGGTAAGTAAGGACTTTTACCCTGTGCTTTAGCTGTACTTGCAGATCTAAAATAGGCAAATACCTTTTTGGCTATGTCACAGCGAGTTTGATGAAGCCCATGAAGATGACATGCAAAGGCCAAATAAAAATACTTTCCTAAAATGACCTTGTATTTCGATGGGTTTTATGACCACCCAAGATCAACAAAGGAAAACAGTACTTACAGTAAGAGGGAGAACTCCTTTTCATGTCTAGAATTGTCTCCCAATCAAGTTTCATTGCTGCCGCCAGGAAAATAGAAGGCCAGAGAAGGATTTGCTTCTTAAAGACCATTCTCTGAGCTCTGCTCTCCCTGACCCTACAACTGAGGCTTGTACATTTTCCCCTCTCTCCTCCTCTGTTGGCTGCAGGCAAGTGTCTTCAGATGACATGATAAAAACTGATCTTTAGTATGAGAGATGTGTAGTACAGGCTGACCAAAGGAAGGAGCCATCAAATTATCTAGCAGTGCTCCTCTTCTAGTCTCTGACCTTGGGGATTGAGGATCATAATTCTGTTTTATCTCAGTTCCAGATTGAACTCAGTTTTTTCTTTTTTGACCCTGAATCAACACCTCAAAGAGTAGGTAAAGATCTTTACCTTACCTAACATAGGTCCCTCCCTGCATTTTGCCTCAATATTGTGTTTGAGATCATCCAATGAAGGGCCGACATGGTTCTATTGTATGAGGCAGATTATGTCTAATAGTTCTAGTTCTTAAAACTGACCCCAGTTAACCACAAGTCATCTATTTAACAATCTGCCCTATAATTTTGCTAAGAAACAAAAATGAGAACAAGTTATAATACTGCATCAAGAAAAGAGATCAAGCTCAGAGGAGGATTGGCTATTTTCACAGCTGTTGGATTTGAGAAGTCTTAACTGGCGCTGATGTAATCATTTTGCAGAACATCTGATCTTAAATTTCCAAAATCATATATGACTCTCCATTTGAAAAGTATCCCACTCACCCATTTCCATCCTGTAGCCTGAAGCAGATATTTCTTTCCAGAAATATCAAAATTTCTTAACTTGTATTTTAAAGGATGGTCTCATCTTCTGCTACAGTTTTTGTAATACTTCCAAAAATTCAACCATAGCTTAATGCAAACAGTGTGGAAATGATTCACTTTTAAATTCATAACTCTTAAGAAAGTATAATATAGATGAGATGAATTTGATCAAAGTCTATTGTATGTGTGTATGTAAATATCACAGTGAAACCCCTTGGCATAATTAATTATGCTAATAAAATGCTTTAAATAAAAAATAAATTCATACCTCTTTCAGCGTATGAAATGTAAATGCCACTATTTCAGTTTCCACTTGTTCTAACTGACTTTTCTACATGGTCCAGCCAAAAACCCCTAAGATTTAAACACAGATCATCTGTGCTGTCTTTCTCCAATACAGTCTCCCCAGACTAATAATAGCTACGATTTACTGAACAGCTGAAGGGACCTGGCCCAGATTAGTTGAACCAAGGTTTTCTTCGCTTTTCCTCAGCCTACTAAGACTTTGCAATGTGTGAAGACATTGCCAGAGACCCGAATAAAATCCAGACCCAGTTCTGTCTCTGACCATTTGTATTATTTGGAACTGAATTTCTCTCAGCTTTTTCACTCACTCTCCTTTGAAAAGGCAGAGCGGTAGAATACAGGGTACCTTTGGTGCTTTCCCCTCTAAAATTCTTCAAAACTGTGTTATTTTGATGACCCTACATGGTATTTGACCCTGGGATTGTCTGTCCAAGGCTGTGGAGCCTTGCTGTATTTAAAATAGAATTACAAAGTGGAACAAAGGTGAAATCCCCCATGAGCCTACCCAGCTGCTGGGCAGCACATATGCTACCAGCTGTCAGCCAGAAAGAAAGTACTGAGGCTCAGCCTCACTTTGCCAGGCTTCAGGAACACCTCCAACCAACCCTGGGGCTGGCCCTGCTTTGCCAGTGCCTACCTTGACTAGCACTTATCCAAGCTGTCAACAGGCCTGGCTTCCTGAGGAAGAACACTGGAATGAGATATTTCTTTCCTACCTGCTCTGTTACTGCCAATTTGAACAGGATGATTCTCTCACCTGGCAGGATAGGCAAGGGAAGACTGGATACCAAAGAGTGTTGCTCCCAAGTTCAAATTTGCTCAGCTCCCTTGACTGAGCAGGATCTCAGGTCATAAAAGACTACACCACTAGGGGGTGCTGTTTCTCCAGTCTTGTCCAATTTACTCCAGCACCATTTATGGAAAGATACAGTTACTGCTCTGTGGGGCTGACCAAAAATTAGTAATAATTACCTTTTTATGTCTGATACTTCACAGATAATACAGTATTCTCTCAATTTCATTTTCTGTACTCTTAAGTATCAGAGAACTAAGCTGACATATCCTACCAGCAAAGAGGTTAGAATCTAGGGATTATTCATTATGACTCTTAACAGTTAGCCTATGTAGACGAGGGCATCTCAGAATTTAAGTTGCAAACCAGTCATCTGGAGGGGTTGTTCAGTTGTGGATCCCTATTCGGTAAGTCTGGGGTGGTAGGTTTGGCAGATCTAACCAGCTTCTGGGTGCTGCTGGTCTACACACCACGCTTGGAGAAGCTAGGGTCACCAGCCCAACCCTAAATCTCAGTTTTCTCTACCGGTCCCAACAGGTTATTACTCACTGTCTTTGGAAGCCATAGTGACCTGTAGAATCCCAGGTCACTATGGAGCTGATGTCCCATCCCTGATCTGTATAGCCCCTTCCCCGCCCTGCTCCATCTGCATTTTACTGCACAGGCCTGGCTGTTGCAGGAGGGCCTGCTGCTGAGTGCTAGCTCCCTGTGTTCTGTTGAAGGTACCCCAGGCTGCACAGCATGGTCGTCCGCTGCTATCTTCTCATCCAGCACTACTCTGAGGCTCTGATGGCACTCACTACTATGGCGTCACTCCGAGACCACAGTACACCAGAAACACTTAGCATTATGGATGACCTCATCAGCTCTCCAGGAAAAAACAAAAGTGGGAAGGGACACATGCTCGTTATCAGGGTGCCCTCGGTGCAGCTGGCCATGTTAGCCAAGGAGCGGCTGCAGGAGGTGCGCGACAAGCTGGGCCTACAGTACCGCTTTGAGATCATCCTGGGGAACCCCGCCTCTGAACTCAATGTGGCAACGCACTTTGTGGCACGATTAAAGGTTAGTTAAGGACACATTTCTCCTGCAAAATACCATTTATTTTTGTTTTCTAGGAATCCTACTTAGGTGGCTCAGAGGGGTTAATTATTTTAATAGACTTTTTTCACATATGTGTGGTTTGATATCCAAGAGTGTTAAGGCTAAACTAAGGAACATATTCACTTTTTTAACTGGAGTAGTTTCTTTATTCTGTCAAGCCCTTTGTTAGCATATGCGTGCAGTTGGTTGCCATACTCTCCAACTGCAGGTGCAAAAAATGAGATGACCCAATTTGACCCCATGTTTCTTGACCTTGTTCGAGATGCAGCTAGTCCACACCATCTGTTTTCCCAAGAAAAAAGGGTGAGCTGTTCTCTCAGACCTGTGTGGGGGACCCCTTTAAGTATCTTCAACTCACTAATTCTTTTCTGTCCATCTAGCCCTTCTGTCAGCCTGTGGCTAGACGGTAAAGTATTGTTTCATCTTCAGTATCATCTACAGCTCCTTCTAGCCCTCTTGCATGTGGACTCCCCAATGATTTGTTGTTTCTTTGTACTTGCTTTGACCCTCATTCCCCAGGCTTTGGCTAGACTGACTTAGTCAGGTGTACCACAGAGGGATTTAGTGCATGACAAACCCCCACTGCTCCTTCTGCATGAACAGGGACTGACTGCCTGTCTCCTACGCCTCCTGCCAGGCATGAATCAACTAACCTAACTCCTTACCTTACACCTGGCTCAGGGTTTTTCTGGAGATTTTTATAATCCAGTGTATCCTAGCCATTAAAAAGCATAATCAAATCACATAGTTATGGAACCAAGCTAGCTACCATATGTCTGAACTAGACCAGTAGAGTATCTGTACCCTTGCACAGTGAAACTTAAGCTAAACTGGGTTTAAAAAAATCTAGTTTGGCACAAACTTTATGAAAAGAAAGTCTGTAGTGTTGGTGGATTTGCATTTTCACCTGGGCTTCAGTTTCCCATCTACAAAATGCAAAATTATCTAACATACAAACAAAATATCTCATATTAGCTTGATAAGCAACAGGAACAAATAAAACTGTCCAAAACACAGAAACTCCTATATTTAGTAAAAGTTGTAACATTTATATTTCAGATATATATGTTCACAGTTTGAAATTACATTTGTAGGCCACATTACAGCAGAATTCCTAGAATGAACAACAAAACTCCTGAAGACCTTTTCACAGTATAAGTCATTGAGACACAGAGCTTAACGCACTTTGAAAATGCTAATAATGAAGAATTTGGAAAGGCAGTAATCAGTACTACTCTGGGAAATCTCACGTACCTGTTGTCTGAGAGGCTCTACATGGACAGTAGAGCTGCAGGCTCTTCGTTGGGTCTTCTTTCCTTTTTTTTATTCATATGTGCATACAATGTTTGGATCATTTCTCCCGCCTTCCCCCACCCCCTCCCTTACAACCCTCCACACCCTCCATCTCCCCCCCAACCCCCTCACTACCTGGCAGAAACTATTTTGCCCTTATCTCTAATTTTGTTGAGGAGAGAGTATAAGTAATAATAGGAAGGAACAAGGGTTTCTCCTAGTTGAGATAAGGATAGCTATACAGGGAGTTGACTTGCATTGATTTCCTGTGCATGTGTGTTACCTTCTAGGTTAATTCTTCTTGATCTAACCTTTTCTCTAGCTCATGGTCTCCTTCTCCTATTGGCCTCAGTTGTTTTAAAGTATCTGCTTTAGTTTCTCTGCGTTGAGGGCAACAAATGCTATCTAGTTTTTTAGCTGTCTTACCTATCCTCATATCTCCCTTGTGTGCTCTTGCTTTATCATGTGATCAAAGTTCACTTCCCTTGTTATGTTTGCCCTTGATCTCATGTCTGAATATGAGTGAGAACATACAATTTTTGGTCTTTTGGGCCCGGCTAACCTCACTCAGAATGATGTTCTCCAATTCCATCCATTTACCAGCAAATGATAACATTTCATTCTTCTTCATGGCTACATAAAATTCCATTGTGTATAGATACCACATTTTCTTAATCCATTCGTTAGTAATGGGGCATCTTGGCTGTTTCCATAACTTGGCTATTCTGAATAGTGCTACAATAAACATGGGTGTGCAGGTGCCTCTGGAGTAACCTGTGTCACAGTCTTTTGGGTATATCCCCAAGAGTGATATTGCTGGATCAAATGGTAGATCAATGTTTAGCTTTTTAAGTAGCCTCCAAATTTTTTTCCAGAGTGGTTGTACTAGTCTACATTCCCACCAACAGTGTAAGAGAGTTCCTTTTTCCCCCGCATCCTCGCCAAAACCTGTTGTTGGTATTGCTAATGATGGCTATTAACAGGGGTAAGGTGGAATCTTAGTGTGGTTTTAATTTGCGTTTCCTTTATTGCTAGAGATGCTGAGCATTTTTTCATGTGTTTTTTGGTCACTTGAATTTCTTCTTTTGAGAAAGTTCTGTTTAGTTCACTTGCCCATTTCTTTATTGGTTCATTAATTTTGGGAGAATTTAGTTTTTTTAAGTTCCCTATATTTTCTGGTTATCAGTTCTTTGTCTGATGTGTAGCTGACAAATATTTTTCCGCACTCTGTGGGTGTTCTCTTCAGTTTAGAGACCATTTCTTTTGATGAGCAGAAGCTTTTTAGTTTTATGAAGTCCCATTTATCTATGCTCTTAGTTGCTGTGCTGCTGGGGTTCCATTGAGAAAGATCTTATCTATGCCTGTTAATTCCAGAGTATTTCCTACTCTTTCCTGTATCAACTTTAGAGTTTGGGGTCTGATATTGAGATCCTTGATCCATTTTGAGTTAATATTGGTATAGGGTGATATACATGGATCTAGTTTCAGTTTTTTGCAGACTGCTAACCAGTTTTCCCAGCAGTTTTTGTTGAAGAGGCTATTTTTTTTAGCGCCTTTGTCAAAGACAAGTTGGTTATAGTTGTGTGGCTTCATATCTGGGTCCTCTATTCTGTGCCACTGGTCTTCATGTCTGTTTTTGTGCCAGTACCATGCTGTTTTTATTGTTATTGCTTTGTAATATAGTTTGAAGTCGGGTATCGTGACACCTCCTGCATTGTTCTTTTGACTGAGTATTGCCTTGGCTATTCGTGGCCTCTTGTGTTTCCATATAAATTTAACAGTAGGTTTTTCAATCTCTTTAATGAATTGATGTCATTGGGATTTCGATGGGAATTGCATTAAACATGTAGATTACTTTTGGGAGTACAGACATTTTTACTATGTTGATTCTACCAATCCATGAGTGTGGGAGATCTCTCCACTTTCTATAGTCCTCCTCAATCTCTTTCTTCAGAAGTGTATAGTTTTCCTTGTAGAGGTCTTTCACATCTTTTGTTAGGTTTGCACCTAGGTATTTGATTTTTTTTGAGGCTATTGTAAATGGAATTGTTTTCATATATTATTTCTCAGTTTGTTCATTATTAGTGTATAGAAATGCTAATGATTTTTCTATGTTGATTTTATATCCTGATACCTTGCTATAGCTATTGATGGTGTCTAGGAGCTTTTGAGTAGTTTTTTGGGTCTTTAAGGTATAGGATCATGTCATCTGCAAATAGGGATATTTTGACAGTTTCTTTACCTATTTGAACTCCTTTTATTCCTTCTTCTTGACTAATTGCTCTGGCTAGGAATTCCAGTACTATAGGAGTGGAGATAGTGAGCATCCTTAACTAGTTCCTGATTTTAGAGGGAATGGTTTCAGTTTTTCTCCATTAAGTATAATGTTGGCTGTAGGTTTGTCATATATAGCTTTTATAATGTTGAGGTACTTTCCTTCTATTCCTAGTTTTCTTAGAACTTTTATTATGAAATGGTGTTGGATCTTATCAAAGGCTTCTTCTGCATCTATTGAGATGATCAAGTGTTTTTTGTCTTTGCTTCTGTTAATGTGGTTTATTACGTTTATTGATTTTTGTATGTTGACCCACCCCTGCATTCCTGGGATGAAGCCTACTTTTTGATGTGTTGTTGAATTCGATTTGCCATTATTTTATTGAGGATTTTTGCATCAATGTTCATTAAGGAGATTGGCCTATAGTTCTCCTTTTTGGAGGTGTCTTTGCCTGGTTTTGGGATAAGTGTAATACTGCCTTCATAAAATTTGTTAGGCAGTTTTCCTTCCCTTTCTATTTCGTGGAACAGTTTAGTTTAAAGAGGGTTGGTGTCAGTTCTTTAAATATCTGATAGAATTCAGCAGAGAATCCATCGGGTCCTGGACTTTTCTTTTTGGGTAGACTCTTGATTGCTGATTCAATTTCATTTTGTGTTATAGATCTATTCAGGTGATTAATATCCTCTTGGTTCAGTTGTGGATAATCATATTTATCTAGAAATCTGTCCATTTCTTTAAGATTTTCAAATTTATTTGAATATACGTTCTCGAAGTAGTCTCTGATGATTTCCTGGACTTCCATGGTGTTTGTTGTTACCGCTTTTTGCATTCCTAATTCTACTAATTTGGGTTTTTTTTCTCTCCTCATTTTAGTCGGATTTGCCAGGGATCTGTCGACTTGTTAATTTTTTCAAAGAACCAATTTTTTGTTTCATTAATTCTTTGTGTGGTTTTTTTGGTTTCTATTTCATTGATTTCAGCTGTTATTTTTATATTTATCTCCTATTTGTTTTGAGATTTGCTTGTTCTTGTTTATCTAGGAGTTTGAGATGTATCATTAGGTCATTGATTTGGGATCTTTCAGCCTTTTTAATATATGCACTCATGGTTATAAACTTTCCTCTCAGGACTGCCTTTGCTGTGTCCCATAGGTTCCGGTAGGTTGTGTTTTCATTTTCATTGACTTCCAGAAACTTTTTAATTTCCTCTTTTATTTCATCAGTGACCCATTGTTGATTAAGCAATGAGTTATTCATCTGTTTGCATGTTTTTTGTCTTTACTTTTGTTGTTGGGTTCTACTTTTACTGCATTGTGATCAGATAGAATGCATGGTATAATTTCTATTTTCTTATATTTGCTGAGACTTGCTTTGTGCCCTTGGATATGATCTAT